ATTTGTGAGGGGTTCGTTAATTAAACTGGGCATCAGGCGTCTATTGGGTATATTGCACAACGTTCACATAAACCTACATTTTTATTACCCATACTCCAATTAGGCACCTTGCAAAACTGTTAAGGAGCGTGTACCTACTTAATAATATTTAGCGGTTACACTTACACAATTAAAGAAATTTTGAGAGCGCGTCTATGTCTGCTACCTCATGCATGAAATAGTCGTCTGCAATTACACATTTATTAGACACACATTCTTCCTTCGTACTTCATAATATTTCACTTTACAAAGAAATTCTGAAATGTATTCCACTTTCTGACTTCGGAGTGACATTTTTGGTTCCCAAATCGTTAAGAATGAAAAATTTTAAAAGTACCCATATTTTAGGCAGTTGACCTTGAGAGAATTAAAGGAATAATTATTGTAGATTCAAGACAGGGAGCTACAAGTTCTAGGTCGAACTTTCACATACTTTCTTTAGCGATGACTGGCACTGCATCGTCTTAGGTTACCTACGACGAGCAACTTTCTTTAACTATACGTACTTTGTGAAGATAAACGGCTGGCCTTTGATTATGAAATTAATAAGCACCTATAAGTTTTATTTAAAGTAAAAAAAACACAGTAGTTTAGAGTGTCTCAAAACCTTGTGCGCACAATTTCTCCTACAAGTGTTGGTGCATATAGTTTCTCCAAACAGTAACCAAACAGAATTATTAGCATTTGCAAAACAATTACGAAAGCGACAGTTTTAATTTCTTTTACAACTACTAGAAGAAAGACTATTCTGCTTTTGCAAATTCTGAAGACGGAAACACAAAAAGAAATTTAACATGACTTCGCCTTAAACGAATTTGCACTATTGTAAATTTCTCCACGTGACGTTTGGCCTACATTGAAAATTTAGATATAATTATTATGCTTGACTTTATGATCATTCGTCTTCTCTTCTATAATACAATGATATACGTTTCCTGGTGAAAACTTCCAGTAAAACAATAACTTTTGTTTTGCGCTAATTTCCATTGCAATTATTAAAATAAATACTAAGCGCATTAATCTTTTTATGTAACAACCCACCCTTTGTCGTCGATCTTTGAAATTATGAAGAGTTGAGTCGCCGTGGCGCCAGATGATTAAGAATGTGGGTTAGTTTCTCTCACAGTCCAATTTCTACTGTTTGAAATATTTTTGTTTTCCCCCCACGAGACGAAGTCGTCTTTCCCGACGTTCGAAACTTTAATTAATAAGCTATGAAGATATGGAATATCGACGGCAATTTTGGCAGCGTAAGGGTAAGTCAACTCGAATTGTGGATTGGCATAAAAAAAGGTAGCATGGTGCCTGATGCTAGGGAAAATTATCCATTAGTTATGTTAGGAAAAGATTATAATAATACAGTACAGCGTTTTTGAGAGCGTTGGGGAAGGGGTCTTACTTAACCCCATTCTTTCCGAAATTCTGAATAAAAACATCATCGCATATACAGTGCGCTCGATGACGACCGCATTTGTGTATGTGAATTTTGGATATGTGTTGCTCTATGCAATGGCGTGCGGTCACTACACCACCCACAACCTGTCCAGCTAGCTTAAAAATAAATCAAAATTGAAACTGAATTTAATTTTTTATAATATTCTCTCCTCGTACACATCCAGAATCTGGTATAAAAAAATCCTAATATGACTTAGAACTTTTCAAGTCGAGAAAGTCGGTAGCCTCGATCAACTTCTGAAAATCACAAATAATTTATTACACAATTTTTGACACCTTAAATAAATCTTGAGCACAACGGATTCGAATAAACCCACAATGACAAAAATTTATTCCGAAAAACTGCAAGAAATAAAAGCTTACAACGCTTGTTTGCGCATAATACCCCGCACGCAGGCGGGAGAAAATTAAAAAATAAGAAAAATCTTAAATTATTTACAGTTTTTTTTTTCTAATAACCGACGAACTGCGTCTTCAACCAAACAACTAGGGAAAACTGCCCGAGATTTAGCGCAAACAAATTTACACTCTCTTTTACCGTCGCAGAACACAGTGGCTTCATTTTTACGTTGATTTCAGTATTTAACGAAACAGCACTTCCACCTTAAGATAAACTCCTTCTTCAGGATCTTCAAAAACGCCGCCATCTTCAAAATACCGACAGATACGAGCACTTCCGTTAATCAAATTTCACGTGATAAAATTCCTTATGGCAAACGACCAGATGTGTCTTACTTCCAACATGTTATCTAAATTGTATAAGTTATAAAAGTGATAAAATTGAAACATGAAAATAATACGCAATTACAAACAATTATAACATGAAAAATAAAGACTGAGATAACAAATTGAAGTACAATAAACCAACTCTGTACTTATTAGTAAATAATCCCCCAGATTTACACTTAACAAAATTAAAATACAGTGATGCATGGATAATCCAAACCCCCAATAATCTGAACTACTCTGTCATATGAACGCGCCAAGTTTGTAAAATGATATCCATAATCCGAACTCCCGTATTCGGTAATCCGAAGTACCGTTTATTATTTTTCTGCAATCCGGAAACGGGTAATCCCAACGGGTCTTGCCATCCTTCTGTTCGGATTATCCATACATTACTGGACTCTCATATACAGGATGTCTTGTCGTTATTTTCGGTGTTTGGAGCGAACTTTGTTTTCAAATAGCAATGCAACGTTTTTATTAAATTATTCGAAAGACTTTTTATCTCTGTGCTTAATTAATATCTTCAACTCTAGGTTTCTCATTTTGGTTTTTCTCACTTTTTCAAATGCGTTTAGATTCTTACTATAACTTGCCAATTTCTCCGTACTCTCGAATTCTTTACGTTCAACAGATCTATAACTCTTTCCAGATGTACAAGATTTATAAAATTCTTCAAGTTCTCAAGTTCTTTCGTTTCCGTGGACTATTTAGGTTACTTCTGTTATTAGGATTTTCATTTTTAACGCATTTCCACAAAAATAAAAAAAATGCGCTATTGTGGCCACTTTGTCCGTCCGTCCGTCTGTCCGTCCGTCCGCTCGTTTTGCGACGCTACTAGTTCTTTATCTTAAGAGCTATTGTTCTACTTTTTTCGCTATTTGGTTCGTTATGGTGTCGAGTCTTGTACCAAGGAAGGAATTTTTTCTGTACCGCTTACAAAAAAAGTTATTGTAAAAAAAACAAAAAACCGTTTTTTACATGTTCCATAATTTTACACTTTTGCCGTTTATTAACGATCCTAGAGATCATTTATAATTTTGCATTGCTATCTGTCGTCTGCCTGTTGGTCTGTCCGTCTGTTCCTTGGTCTGTCTGTCCATCTATCTGTCCGTGTGAACGATAATTTTGTTTAGAAATGTCCGATCGCTTTTACATCTCCGTTAGTTATGAACTGAATTGCATGAAATTCAATATGGGCATAGCTTTAGCCATATAATACGCAATGCCAAAAGTTGAGTCGAATCGATTCAAAATTCACAGTGCCCTTTTCGCATCTCGACCATTTATAAACCGAATTGCAAACTTTTTTACTTATAAAAGTATTTGAATGAAATTTGATACATAGGCACTTGGAATAAAGGAAAATCAAACGCCAATTTCAAAATTTGGTTTTGCGCATGCGCAGTGCCAACTTTTTATTTATGGAAGAATTTAAACGAAATTTGATACATAGGCACTTGGAATAAAGGAAAATCAAACGCCAGTTTCAAATTTTGGTTTTGCGCATGCGCAGTGCCAACTTTTTTATTTATGGAAGCATTTAAGTGAAATTTGATACTTAGGCGTTTGGAACTAAGGAAAATCTAACATTAGTTTCAAAATTTAGGTTTGGGCATGCGCAGTTCCAACTTTCTTATTTAGAAAAGCAATGAAATGAAATTCTCATAAACTGAAATTGAAGTAGCACGCCAAAAATGAATTGCACATATGCAACGCTATCTATCTTATTTGTGGCCGGATTTTTAACAGAAGTTGCATCTTACAAATGGGAAATGAATGCAAGTGGAAATGCGCTTTATGTAAATCGTTTACGATTACTTTTTAACTTGTTTATAGATACCTGGCTTACTTAAGTGTTAGGTCCTTTCGAATCATCCAATGCCTCTAGCTTTAAGTTCTCTCGTAAGGGAATTTGTGAATTTTGAGGGCGTTATTCAAAGCAACGTATCTAAAAAACGAAAAAAATGTCAACCCCATTAATATACCTTTTTATATTGTATCAATGACAGTAATTGTAATAGGAAGGGTGCATCAGGAACTGGGCAAAATAAAATTGGTCTTAATCCCTTCAACTTTAATTTCTCAAAGTATGCATTTCTGAAACTATCAATCTTGGGTACATAAAGTTTAAAGGGGTAATTTAAGCTTAAGGTTATATCATGCAATTTACTGATTAGCCCATAAAATTATGCAATTTTAATTTTCCATCGAGAGAGTCGTTCCCAATTAGTAGGTACCTTCAACCTTCTAATTACAGCACGGAAACGGATTCTGTTTGAATTCGGATTTCCCACTGTTGGGTTTTAAAACTGTTCTCAGAAACAGAAAATTTGCCAAAACCCAGACGATGGTAAAATATAACTTTTCCTTTTCTAATTTTTACGCAAAAAAAAAACATTACTTTCATTATCGATCGTTGTTGAGATTCCCAAGTAGAAAGTGATTGTATTAATTGTTAATTTATATACAACGCACGATTGAGTTGCTGTAAATCACGAATAGCAATTGAAAGCAAAAGGAGATTGATTATGTTTTAATTTATTAAATCCCAGTAAACGACGAAAGTGGGTTAATGTACTTAACATTACTTTAATATTGTGGATTAAGATTAATAATTTTTGTGTAAGTCTTTCGATTTTTTGGCACAAATAATGAGACAATATGATAAGTAGTAGATTTGAGAAAGAAAAAAGTTTACGAGCGATGCTTTTGTATGGGGAGCACGAATTCAAGTGAAAGTGGTGAGTGTGTGAAAGTTTAACTCTAAAGTATGGTTTCTTTGGTAGCCCCAGTCGGCCTCAAGCGTCTAAGGTAAACTGTGATGTGGATAAGTGGTTTGCCGTGTTAATTTTTTTAAATTTTGATTTTCGTGCAAAATTCCAAATTTGTAATTTGTGTCGGGAAGAATCTATTTTTAGTGTAAGTGTACACCTTTAAGCTACATATCCACAACACCCTGCACCTTTAAGCGCCTTATAATAAAGCACCGCTAAACTGCCCTAGATTTAAACGCGGTCCGCGTCAAGTGATAAGTTACAAACCAGTAAGATCTGCGGTTGTAAACAAAGACGAAGGCACGCGATCTGCTAAAGAAAGTGATGTGAAAGCCTGCACCGATATTTTAAAGCCATAAACAAAATACAGAAGAACGAGAGCAACCTAAATGGAATACTAGTAGAATGAGGAGAATTCACTCGAAAGTGCTGGCTATTGTTATGAGCATATTTTTAATTCAAGCTACCGATCCACCCTTCGAAAAAAGCACAGATCCTCTACTACAACCCCAATACCCAAAGGCGCCATTTCGGCTAATCAACTTCAAATCGTACATCCTGACACCGGCCAATGTAGATAAGTTAAAGTTCACCTTTACGGATACGGCCAGAATAGGCCAGGCGAAGAATTGCGAAGCGGGATGTCTAAAACAGAACAACAAAGAGGAAGAAGAAAGAGTGAAACTGCTTCAAGATTATGTAACTCAAAGTACGGAGACTGAGAGTGAATCATCCCATCAAGCAATCAATAAATTCCTCGGCCGACAGGGAAAAACCAAATACGAGAGATTGCTGGAGAAGAACTTCGTGCAACCATTACTCAAATTGTACGCCCAAAACTCGACTGATCCGAATAACGGAAGAATATCCAAGGAGGACAGTCTTGAGCAAATACACACAGATTATAACCAACCCCTGTATTATTCGCACCCTCAGGGTGCCAGTGCGAGAAGATCGGACGCGCATATGATCAATAACGACAAGGAGCACATCGGTGAAATTCTACCACCAAACTATCGGGAGTCACCCTCCGACTTACCCCTACGAACTTACCACAATTTTCGCAAATCTTACGACTTTAGTGATTTCGAGGCGGTTACGCGTTACAGACAGTCGTCCCCAGTTCACTTCCGAGAATTCGACTACCCCATCTTATCCCCCGACGTATTCGACGCGAGTGAGGACGTCCGCTTTAAATCCTCCTTTAACCGACCGGACAATTACCCAAGACTGTATAGGGGTCACCGAGACAGCGGTTCCCAATGGACCACATTCGCAAACTCGAGAAGGCCGCGAGTCATCTTCCCATCGGATCTTGTAGCGTTTCGTGACCAACAATCGCCAGATGACAATAATGATTGGTTGGCCGGCGATATCGATTTACAGGATCTTCAACAACCTGAAACTAACGATAGAGGTTAGTAAATATTAAATTATAATACTTTTACTTTTCTCCGAATAACACACATCCATTTGGAACACTTTACTTTCATTCGAAAAATCGGAACGTTGTAGGCGAGAGAATTTCATGAATAGAAATTTCGCATAAGTAGTGTAATCATTTTTTTTTCACACGAAATTTAACGATCGAATCGCATCACGGATCACTTTTCCTTTTCAAAGAGTATAGCCATCAAATTTCATATTTGAACATCACCATTTATTAATATTTATAAACAAACTTTCGCTCAGTGCCCTCGCTATGATAAATACAGTACGATTTTCACCACTGACAATTTAAGTCCATCTAATTGTGCAATAAAGTTTTTATTAAAAAAAGAATATCAGCCCGAGATTTAGATCTGTTTGTGTGTATCCAAGGATACACTAAGTTCTTCAGCATTTTTTAATTAGAGGACTCTCCCTTTGCTAATGAAATTTAATGAAAAATTCACCTTTTACTAAATTTAACTAATAGACAACTTTTAATGCGATACGATGATTTCCATAGAAACCATTAACCACCAAGACAAATACTACTAAATTATAAAACTGGACCGCTATAACCCACACATGGCCAATAGTTTAAGGTATTTTAAATGGACCATCGCTTCATTGTTACAGTATAGGTGGTAATTCATTCGAAACTTTATACAAACCATTTTTAAATGGCAAACTCTAGACAACTTCTCTGATTCCTGCTGAGATTTGTAGTTTCTAAAATGCATAACGCTACACGAACACCCTGTACCAGAGAAAACTAATGTGCTTGTCACAAAATTTAACCTTGCCCAACCCAAAAAAAACCTTTCATTGATTTTTATTTTTTGAAAACTTACACTGGTTATACTTTTTTTAAAGAGAGAAAAAATGCCGTTTCTTTATTTTGTATATCACCCTCACCACACCCTTAAGCATTCATACTGACATAAAAATCTTAAATTAAAAACACCACATGTGATACCTCTTTGGAAAACTTATTAAACACGCTTTTCACTGGTCATAAAAAAGAAGGGTGAATTCAATACCTCAAATCCAAGAAAAATTTTATTTTAACATTTAAATAAACACATGAAAAAATTCCAATAAATTTTAAAAATGACGGCCATTTTGTTGGAGAGAGTTCTTGTCCAACGTTTTGGAACACAAATAAATACACAAAAAAGTGATTTTGTTCCTTAACCCGTCGAATATGTACAGGGTGGCCAAATAAGAATGCGAGGTACTGTATCTGGGAACCTATCCATCGTAGAGACTTGCGGTAAAAAAATTTATTACTAAAACGGCCACGAGAAAAACCTGGAAAATATTTTTAAGTTTCGGCAATGGCCGCTAGGGGGCGTAACTGAAATTTGGAATCTAAAAAAGTGATTTTTCAGTGAATTCCGCTATATTCACCTATCAAAAAAATGTCCGGTCTTTAAAGTTAACGATAATGTGAACAATTTTTGTTTGACAATTTTTCCTGTATCTCTAAAAATGAAGTGGTGGGGGGTATTCAAAGGTTTCCGTAAAGAACACCCTGTATCTTCGAAACGGCTGAGCCGATTTAAACAAACTCGGTTTAGTTCAAAAGAGCTATTGTTCAGCTACAAATATTATACTATTTGATGTTTTGTTAGTTTCACATATCGCCGGTTGAGGGCTTTTTTCGACATTCCGACAGAAATGGTGAATTTTCTCAAAAAAATTAAATGCATTGGTTCGATTTTTTTTTCATGAAAAAGTGGCTAAATGATGCCTAAACGAGCTCGCGAAAACAGCCCCCCACCACTTCATTTTTAGAGATACAGGAAAAATTGTCAAACAAAAAAGGTTCAGATTATCGTCAACTTCAAAGACCGGACATTTTTTTGTTAGGTTAATATTGCGGAATTCACAGAAAAATCACTTTTTTAGATTCCAAATTTCAGTTACGCCCCCTAGCGGCCATTGTCGAAACTTAAAATATTTTCCAGGTTTTTCTCGTGGCAGTTTTAGTAATAAATTTTTTTACCGCAAGCCTCTACCATGGACAGGTTCCCAGATACAGTACCTCGCATTCTTAGTTGGCCACCCTGTACACAACAAATTTTTTGGAATTCTTTCCATTTTAGTTGTCCGGCAAATAATTGCTGTGGAATTTTTTTCCAATTTTCAAAAACTAATTTCAGTTTGTGATTTTCATGTTCAAAAACCTCGTCGAAATAATTATTTTTTTCGCACCCCCATTTAGAGGTACATGGTAGGAATTTTGAATTTTTTTTGCAAAATCGTTAAGGTCATAATGCTTATGGTTGTTGACAAAAAAATTAAAGAAGTTTCACCACTTTTTTGAGGGTGGCCAAGCGAAACACCATGGATCATCGGTTTATTTGAAAAAAGTGCTTGTTTTAATCCCCTCTACTACTACTAAAGGATTAGTACACTGAAAATAAAAGCAATGCTACTTTTATCACTTTTTGTAATGTACGGGTATTATCTTCCTGCTGGTTCTTTGTTTATTTTAAAAAATACCTTATAGTGTCTAACAAATTATAGAGAAATACGTCGTTCGGATTCTCCCTAGCTGTTACAACAACCACATTTACCATGTTATTGATATCTCTACTCGTGAACAAAATTATAGGCATTGTACGTTTTCTACGACTTACCTTAACATTTAAGGTTAGGTTTTATAGTATAACCAGTGGTATCACGAGTGGAGTATTTTAATTTATGAAATTTACGTCAGTGTAGGTTGTGCTTAAGGGGTGGTGCAGTTTCAAAAATAAGTAATTTATATTGCCCCTGGTTTTTAAAGGAACTATATTTCTTTAATTTTTTCCATATCTCTCTTTAATAAAACAAGTTGGAAGGTATTCGATACGTCGAGCTACTTAAGCGCGTTTTTGTGCGACGGATCGAGAGTTTATTAGCGCTGAATGCAAAGGATTGTGACACAAAGGTAAAACTTCAAACCCGAGGATCTTACGATGATTCTTTCGAGAATTATACCTATACCTCGGGCGACATACAATCCCTCGGGCCGGAGGCCCTCGGGCTCGGTCGCTATCGGCATAAATATCGCTTTAATGCCCTTGATCCATAAATAACTATACATCCTTAATGGTTCTATGGTTTCCTCTATTTACTTTAAATTATCGCTGTCTAAGAAATGAGATTCTCTGGCGCCACTTGGCTAGTTCCAATTGTAATCACAATAAGTGTACAGTTCTAGATAGGTTAGCTTACTCACCTATAAAGAACGGTCATGGAAAAAGCTGAACATACAATTTTTAAAAATTTGGATGTTAGGTTGAGGTCTGTCTATCCGTTAGTACTAGCGGTATAACGGAAATTCTTGAAAGATACTGCATTTTTTTATACCAAGGTGCCACTTGGTACAGTTGTTCCTTAGAGCCATTTAAACGATTTGACCCGAAGAACACTTGACATTTTCCGTGTGGGTAGATTTTAGAGGGGTTGGGGGTGATTTATTGTAACATTTTTTAAAAAACTAAATATGGCCTAGAGACGAGACCTGGGGGTCGATTTCGTATAATTTTAACCCGAGGAATCCAATGGTAGCGTAATCCGGATACCGGAAGTCCGTGAAAAGCCGCCATTTTTAGAAAATGACAGCCTTTTGATCGAATATTATATTTTAAAGGCACACCGAGTCGTGTAAGGTGTCTAGACTCATGTTTTTGGGGTCAGGGAATTCATTTATGATAACAAATATAACCTACTGTCATCGGAACTGCATGAGAGGCTTCCCTACTGCACTTTTTGAAGACGTCGCACGCGGTGAAACCCAAGATATTCCAAAGTTTTAATATATAAACTTATATTATTTTATTTAATAAAAATACACATTAACAAAACATAAGATATATTAAAACATGGGGTAAAAAATGTATAAGCCTATGAAGAATCACCAAGTACATCGCTGACCTCCTCTGAGATTGTGTTATCACCACTGAAAAGGAATTTTACATATAAATATTAAAGGTTCGGTAGTAAATTATATTTAAAGTATACAATATTCTTACCCTTTGTTTGAGCAATCTCCCATACATTTTTGGCATGCAGGGGAACATGGCAATCCGTGTCGCCGCAGCGTGGAGGAGCACATAAGGAGGGCGGCGTATGTCGCTGGCCATATCTGGGGATGTGCAAAACACGTGATGAGAAGCTCTACAACTTCAGAGGGATGGGGATGGACCCTTGAAGCCAAAGGCTGGAAGGTTCTGTAGTCCAAGCTGCCACAAGTATGGAAGGCAGTCCGTGCTCTGGACAGGTGTGGCTGCGAGACCCTTCGGTGCAACTGCCGGCGACACGGATTGCCATGTTCCCCTGCATGCCAAAAATGTATGGGAGATTGCTCAAGCAAAGAGTAAGAATATTGTATATACTTTCGGATATACCTAATTTACTACCGAACCTTTGATATTTATATCGGGTGAATATTCCCAAAATGAACATAGGGAATTAACATGGCAAAAACTCGAGAAATCCACTTACCAAAATCATGTTTAGGCATGACTAAGACGAAAAGCAGATTCAAACGTCGAAATCAATATCAGTTTATGACACCTGGCATTAATTTTTAGCGCATTTTTGAAAAAAATACGCTATTATATTCGTTATTGCTGGCAGGCCGGCTGTCCGCGTTAGATCTCCACAACTACAATAGCTAGAAACTTCAAATTTTCACTAAAAGCTTCCTGCTATAGTGTAGATGTGCAGGCACTAGTCTATTTTGAGTTAGATTACTTGCGAGATCGATAATTGAAGAAAATAATTTCGATATGGGTTTCGGAGGTGCTATAATTTTACCGTTAGATAGCGCTACCAGTATAAAAACTTCATAGATATATAAATATTTATATATCTATGAAAAACTTATTATTTACTTTGTGATTTGTTTTACAAAATGAAGACGTACCGTCAATTGAAATTAAATAAAATGAATTATTTAACGCAGCCAAAATTACTCGTGAGATCGATAATTTT